GGTGCTTTCATTGTCCTCAATTTATTTTGATAATGAATAGGTCGAAACTAAAACCTAATTATACAGAGTGATAGAAAACTCCACGGGCCTTCAGAATATGTAATTACTTTTAAAAAAGTATAGTATCATAGTGGAAATATATTCGAAATACAGAGTCTAACTATTTTTTTCCAGAGGGATATATATATACATCCAAATAGATGATATTCGAAATTACTATTGTGTGAAAATAAAATGTAATGAAAATCAGGCAAAGGATTATAGAATTTTAAACCTGAAAAGACATACAAAAAAAGCCGAAAGTCGTTGATTTATTCGTTTTTTAAGTATAACTATACTAAGACTAAACAAATCATAACCCTAAATAGTTTGCTATAGTTAATTAATAAACTAAATCATATTATATAAGACATGAAATGATAAAATAGAAAATTTTTTTCCTATTCTATTTCTACAATATTAATCTCATACATATTAAAGTTATGCTATAGATTATCTAAAAAGTTGATTTTTTTTTCTTTGATAATTTAGGCAAGTGGTCGTTTTAAAATAAATGAAAAAATCTGTTTATCAATATCTGGACATCATGCAGAAACATGGACACCAACATGGGGTATACGAACAGCTTTATTGGCAATAATTGGTTTTATGGAAACACCTGGAGAAGGTGCTATAGGTTCACTTGATTATACACCTGATGAAAGAAGAATTTTAGCTAAACGGTAAGAACAAAAACAAAAAAAAATAATTATTTAGTTTTTTTTTAAAATAGATCTCAGTCATATGTATGTCCAACATGTGGTATAGCTAATAGTCAACTATTATTACCATTATCAGAAAAATCGATTGATATACAAAAACAAGCTAAAGAATTAGCTAATCAAATTAGTTTTCAGAAGGTTTGTATTTTACAAATTAAGTCTAAAACATAAGATATTCATTGCGGCTAAAAACCTGACGTTATCGACATAATATTCAAAAATATGTTTTGAATTTAATTGTTATTATTAATCCATCAGATTCATTAAGTCTTAGGGTATTACATTTATAGACTCTAAAATTCTCTGCATATTCATTTAGTTTTACTCGAAAAAGGATTCGCCGCAATGGATATCTTTGTTAAAGAAATAAAAACTTTTCTAGTTTTAAAAATTTATTTTAGAATTTTGAAACAACATCGAATAATAAATTAGTTGTTAAATCATCATTAAATTCCAGTGAATTACGTTCTAATTCGTCAAATCAAATATTAGTATTAAATGAAAATAATTTCAATAATAATCTATTCAATTTTGTTATATATGTTTGTTGTATAATATTTTTATTTCTCTTTTTACGACGATTATTTTTAATATTTGGTAATAGTCAATCATTTCCGTCGTCATTTACTGATTTTTAAAAAAAAAGTATTCCATTTTTCTTGTATTCCCTATTGCTTGTTGTTCAATAGTAAATAAAAGTCTTTATTTGTATTTTCAATGTATATAGATATATTGAACTTTTACTATCGTTGTTCTCCATTGCATGTTTAGCTAAGTCATGAATATCAATAACATAACAATAATTTTAGTATTTTCTACAGTGAATACGATAGCATAACTAGATATGAATGGGATCAGGATCATCTGACCTATATGTAAGTATAACATCCATAATTTCGATTATTCTAATTAGAGAAACTGAAGTTGAATTCAAGTAATATTTCAATTGTTGATAGTAACATTATTAGAAGCTCATATTTATACATTGCTTTTATTATGAAAAAAGAGAAATGACAAATGTATGTACGTAGTTTTCAGATAATATATCGCCGAAAGATATATTCATGAATATCAGAATCATGCGAGATTGATCTATATTTCTCAATATATCGACTGAATTTATGGTATTGTCAATATCAAGAGGAAGAAGTCAATCTTTGACTTCAATGCGAGATAATCTAGACAGGGATACAATACGGTGAGCCTAATCTTGAAGTAGATGAGCACATGCAGAATTTGTAGTGGTGATCGGTGTGTTAACACCACTAACATCTCTTAGCATAAGGTATCTAAATAGTCCAAAAAAAAATCGACTATTACTATATGTTTCTCATGCACCCATTGGCTCACCAATCTTAATGAATAAACTTAAAAATGTATGCATTCCTAACTCGGTGTGTATTTATGTACAAGAAGATTATTTGAAGGTCATACTGTCAAGCTCTTTTTCTTTGCTACATATTATTCGCAAGACCAATCGATCGCTTTTGAGATTATTCTACAAAATGTTTCATTCATTGAAATACAGATAACAAGTTGCAACTTTAGTTGTGTACATATGATAACCTGAAAATCTTTGTATGGAAGTAAAACTAACTACTTTTCGTTTTATTGATATTATTTATAATGTATTTATTTCCTCTTTTTTTTTGCAACAACAAAAATAAAGAATAGATGTCCTTATGTACAAAGTACCATAATCAATGATACGGAAACTTATTTTTAAAATAAAACATTTATGAAATTTCAAGATTTTTTTTTTTCAGTAATGATTATTCATTAAAAGATCTGATAAAATTCAACTAATCGATCCATTAAAATATTCTTTATCTAAATTCAGAATCTTGTTTTCTCTTTTTTTTTCTTGCAATACCAAAAAAGAAACCAATAAAATTAGTTTTGGTTACTAATGTAGATACTATATCAGTTCTGTTATTGTCAAAAGCATCAATTAATTTATCATATAGCCTCTACAAGCAAATGGCATAAATTCTAGTGTACATTACTTCATATGGCTATATCAATATACCATGAATCAATATTCAGTTTTATTATTATTCAAAATATATATATATATATATATATATTTACATATAAAATTGTTTGTTCAGATTTGTCAAAAGAAATTATTTAAATGACAAATACAAATTGTTTCAATATTCTCTATTCTAAATTATTGTTTATCGTTGACATTTCGATGATGTATAAATAAACATATTTTCTTCAGATCTAATTATCCGTAAAAAAAAGAAAATACTTTAATCTATTATTCATCAATTTATTGCATGAAATGAAATAACAGACATTGATCTCAAGAGAAATCAAATCTAAGAAATTGTAATAAAATAACTTATTCATTATTATTATTGAGAATATAGAACAAGTAATTATTCTTAATTAGAACTTTTTGTCATGATGACATCAATAAATAGTACTTAGAAGAAGAAAAAATAATAACACAGTTTAATTGGTACAAACATTTAAAAGATTTATATTCCTCATTATCTCATATTTTAATAATTTGTATTTAAATATTTTATATATTTTTTTTGTTTTGAAAAAGCTTGATTGTATAGTAGTACTAAAGATAAATATATAATTGTGATATTAAATATCTTATATAATATTTACGAAATCATAACAAAGTTTAAAAAGAAAATTTTCTTCTTTTTTAATTTCATTAAAGTAATAACAATAAATATTTAGAAAAATATATATATTGTCTTGTTAAATAAGTTTGACATTTAATAAATAAATTTATAAAAAGTTATTTAGTTATATAGATTTCATCCAATGATCTACATGCTAAAGTTGATTTACTAGAACGATGAAAACAAACTATTTTTTTTTTATGTTAGATCAATTAGGATGGTAAGCTAAAAAGATGAGTTTCGAACGAAGAAAAATAAAGAAAGCGAGAAAAATAATAGAGAACAATCGGGCAGATGTTGATTAAATTATACTAAACAGGACATAACAAACACTTTCGAGGTCTTTTGACAATTAAGTTGACATGTAGCTCTGTATGAGTATATTTTCGATCTTTGCATGTGGTATTATATAGATCTTCTTTTTTTTTTTAGAGATATTGATGTAGCATCAACATATACATGGAGATTGTATTAAATTATGGGTATATTAATCCTTGTTTTTTTTATCTAGAAGAAGCCAATTTATTGTAAAGACATAAGCGCATATGTGGGCATAAGATAATTCGTTTCTTTTTTTTTGTTTTTTTTTTCTTTTTTATAGATTAATATCAGGAGATAGACTAGCATTTATTCAACTGACTTTCTACTCATACAACTCTATACATCGTATGACGTCCAAACCCAAAGAAAAACTGAATAGAAGTAAAACAGTTCAATTAATTATTTATAACTTCCATCAGTTTTCTTTCTTTTTTTTTATGTTGATTGTTCTCATTATGATATGTTCGTGTATATGTAAAACAGATAAGCTATGAGCAGAAAAAAAAAATTTTTTTTCTTTTTTTCTTTTTTTTTTTTCCACTTATACTAGCGTTTCTTGTTTCTTCATTAGCATCATTTTTGAGAAGATGACGATGATGAAGCAAAAAAAAAGAAGAAAGCCACACAGTCAACAACCTGTATGATTATTTGTCACGTCTTTCTGCTTTTTCTCTCTCTCTCTCTCTCTCTCTCTCTCTCCTACGGTCGGTGCAAGCTCTCGTGCTCTTCATATATTGAGAATGTCTTTTATTTTTCATAATAAAATGGATACTGAATACTACAATTATTTTCTAGTAATAGTTATGAAAAAATTTTTATCTGACATATATATTAATAAAATTATATTAACATTGATCAATAACATTTCTATTTCTAAAGTTTGTATAAATCATTTTTTTTTTTATCATGAGTTTATATTTAGTTTAATTTGTTAAATGTGACATAATTTATCGACGTAGAATAATGTCGTAGTTATTTTTTTTTTCTTCTTTTTTTGTCGTCATTTAATATCATTATTAACAAGTACGCTAATCTTTTATTCTGAAGAAGTGTTGATCAATATGTTTATTTGTTGTTTCTTTATCTATATCGATGACAATAAACATTTAAAGTAGTAATGCTAACATCATGCGCTTCGTTTAATACACTATTATTGACTACTTGCAGTAGATCAGCAGTTCATCCTCTTTTCTTGTTCTTTGATGTTTTCTTTGCTCGTCTTACGGAAACACGCATACACAATAAGGCATTCATTTGTGAACAAAAATATACTTGCGCGATTTGTTCATTCTTAAACGCTTTGTATTGTCTTGGCTTCTTTTTTTTTTTTTTCGCTAACAAACATAATGATAATGTGAGATAAAGAAATAGAAGCCAAATTATATACACATACATTGCTATTTTCTTATGTGATTTAATATATGTTTTACATAAAGATAACTGTTTGCGTGTTAATTACTTATATTCGACCCTGAAATATTTTTCCTACATGAACTATTATGGAAACATCCGTTATTAAAAATTTACTAGTTTCCAATTCTATAAACATTAAAGCTTATTCTTGGTTGATTTGCATGCAATACCTTTTTTTCCACGTGTTAATTCCTCTTCTTTTTCTTCTGTCGTTACTTCTCTTTGCTTCCGGTGTTCAGAAACCGATCTTTTTTTCTCTTCTTATTTCTTCGGCATTTAGCTGACAGCAACGAGAACGTCTTCCGGCTTCGTGCCTCCACCTCATAGCTAATAATTCACGATTTGTTCTCTGCTATAATGTAGTAACAGCCGCTCAGCAATTAACAACCGCATGTCATGCACACATATATTATAAATACATACATCTTCTACGTATATTTTTCTATTCATATTGTATGAGACAACGAACATGGAAAATAGTGGTAAAGTTGAAAACAAAAGATAAATTTTTTTTTTTAATCAGAAAGTAGTTGATCCAATCATTCAGTAAACCGGCATACAAAATAATACGCAAATAAACTGGTAAGTTGCGAATAGTAACAAGAAAAAAACAGTAGCATCAGTCTGTTATCGCCAGATTTTTCGTCCAATTTCTCGGTTTGTTATTCTTGTTATTTTTGTTGAAAATGACAGTCTACTTCTGTATAGATCATTTATACATATATATGCATATATATGCTGACAACAAAAACAGGCTGGGGACAGATAGATGACGAATATAATAGTTACAGCATCATACTACTAACAAGTCTAATCAATGCCCACTATGCATAATAGTTCAACTCAATGATTTAATATTCTCATGTGATTTAAACTATAATGACTTGGGAAATCGGAAAATATTAGAATACACAGATCAAACGAGAAAAAAAAATTTAATTGAGCTTTGCATTGTATGAACACTAAGCGGGTCGATTCTCATCTTTTCTTCTCCTTCTTCTTCTGCTTCTTCTTCTTCATTTTCTTTTCTTTTCTGAATGATGTTAGAAAAAAGGCAATCGTGGGTGTCGAGAGTTGGTAATACGCTCAATTAGCGCATTGATTCTCTGAAAAAGAACATATGAATTTATCCACAATATTCTTTTAAACCATTGTCAAACAATAGTCTTACGCATCATCGAATAGAAAACATTTGATAATTGTAGTTGATCAATCATTCGACATTTCCTACTTGTTTCTTTTTTTTTTTCATT